TCACTGGGTTTGGTCTGTGGCTTAGCATGGCAAATCCTCTGTAATCCTCCAACCAGTCCCATGCCTGTTTACTGTATAGTAGGTAAAGCTATTATGGACCAGGACCAAGTGTACCCTACTACATCCTACAAACTGCTACTCCAACACTATTGTTCACCTGCTCTTTTTTAAGAGGACTGCTGAGGAGGTTAAACCTCTGTAAATCTCTTTTGGAGATTATAATCATTAGACGGCAGGATAACAAGGAGGAAGCCAGAAAAAGAGAGAAAAATCACACACAGAGGGGTGAGAAAAGAAAGCAGTTTTTAGGGTATTTCGACCAAAAAGAGATGTCCTGCAGTCTGCTTTTCTTTAAGTAAAACCATGGAGCTTCTTCTGTAGTTCTAATAATGTAATTCCAGCAAAGAGCACCACATATTAAGCGTTGATGTCAAAGCAAAGCAGCGTCCTGTCTGGGAAGGTCTGGCGCATCTTTGTAAACAATGACGCAAGCCGGTAGAGCATCGTAATAGAAGCGCGTGTGTCTTGGAAGCTTTGAAATTCATTTTCAGCTAGATTCCTGGAACCACATTACATAAGACGACAACAAATCATTGTGTCACTGCCCTTGTCATGATCTAATTGCTTTCTTGTAGATTCAGGACTCTCCTTCCCTCCATCTGTATGTTTCTCTCAGTTATCTATTAAGGGTTGAAACATTGCACCTTTGCACCATAACAAAAAGTACAGTCTGTATAAAGCTAACAATAGCAAAAGCTGAAATAAAACTGATTAAATTCCATCATCGAGCAGTTTAATTGCTGGCACAAGCACCGAGTTGAAATGCACATGCAGCTGCCTGCCAAGAGCGGAGGACTTTCAATTTCATTCCATTCCAAATGAATACCAGTAAGTTTCAAACAATTGGGATCATTCCAGGTAGCTCTGCAGTGATTACTCCTTTAATCCATCGACAGAATGGATTCTGGCTGCAACGTTTCCAATCACAGCAAAATATTGAGGAACATTAATATCTTTGGGAATGTTACAGGGTCCAAGACATTTAATCTCATAACCTTTTGCTCTGGGAAGTTTTAAAGGATTTTTTCACATTTTAAAATAGACACAATAAACAAATAACAAGTTATCACAAATAAGAACTAAACTAATAAATCACATGCATTGCTTTTGAGATATTGGAGTTGTGTCACGATTAGGTCCATTTAATTTAAAACACCTAAAATAAATGTTTTCCAAATGTTTTATTTGAGGAAAGGCATTAATTCAGCTTATTTGTTAGAGCTCAACAACACAAAGTGAGTTATGGTGAGCAACAGCGATATAAAATAACAATTTAAGTTTTGGTTTGAAACTCCAAAGGGTGCCTTAAAGTTGAATGATGCTCCCAGTTCCTCAGTTCCTTGTTCTGCTAAAGGTTTTTCCTTTTATCATACCAGCTGTTGTTATTGAGCAAACTTGTTAGATTAACTACATTAATGTCACTTCAAAAGTCGTACATGGAAAGTACTATTCCATGTACGAGTCATGTGGTTATTAAAATATATATTTAGTTAATCAAGTAACGTTGTTAGACTTTGTGCTTTTTTGGACTGCAAAGAGAACATTTGGAGACTGCAGGGTTCTTATGCAGCATGAACAAAGTGCTTAGCAGCGGATAAACTTCGGCCCATGATCAGAGGGGAGGTGATTTTGGTTGCAGACAAACCCTCTTTGAGAGATTAATTATTTAAGATTAACAGTCTCATATGGCACTGCCCACCATCATACAGCCTCAATGCATCTTTGTTATTTTGTATATTAACAGCTTCTATGAGTTTCAGAAGGGTTTGAACACGGATTAGCAGCAGCCAGTTCAGAGTAGATTTAGAGCTCTGTCTGTCTCCAGTGATGGAGACTCTTCTTTGGTCTGTATTGCATTTTACTAAAGGACATACATGACAACTATTAACAACACATAGCGGGTCGAGAGATAGATTTTCATATCATTTAATTGTAGTTACTCAAGACCAGGAGATTGGAGGGGGGGTTTATATGTAAATAAACATATTTCTGTTGCTAAAATATTGTATTTCCACAAGTATCAAATTGGTATTAGTAGCAGTAATAGTATATATTGTTTTTATTAAATGATAAATCCTCTTTTTAATTTCTTTCTGTAATCGACATCAGAAATGATTTGGAATTGAACATTATGAAGAAACTTCATGAAGAATCTAACCTTAAATATAATAGCAATGTCTCTATTTAAACAACAGCATTTGACATTATTATGGTGCCTAACATCAACAATTAATATGCATTACACTAACTATGGAAAAGTGACAGCAAACTGGTTGGTAGTCAGGGACTTAAAATCCCCTCGTCACTGGTGTTGATTCACAAAGCTCAGTGGGCAGACATGACGCTCCACCAGATGCATTTTTATTTTATTTTAACTTAGTTATGATAATAAGTAAAAACCATTGTATTGTCAGCGCATGAAAAACCAATTGGCCATCATCTCTTCATTATCAATATAAAACTATATCCTAAAAGGGTAAGACCCTAACTCGGGGGACACATTACTCCAGGATCATTTTTACATAGAGCTCCAGACTGTAGAATCACCATAACACCACCTAAATCTGCATGGAGCCACTCAGGGTTATACAGAGCCACTTATTTAACTTCATGGACGGTCAAACAGCATAAGCTCAATATAAAACGTTGTACTTAATAATGGCACATGAAACACCTTAGTACAAAAACAGCAGCAGATCAACACTCAGACTAATTTTACATAAAGCGTGTTTTCAGGAAAAAATCTGCTTGGCAACACATCACATCTCTGGTGTCTGTAGCAGCTCTACCTGAGAGCTCTGTGTGTGCGTGTGTGTGTCTGTGTGTGCACATTAATGAGGTTGCAGATATAGATGAGATCGTTGCAGCTGTTAAAACACCACATGACTCACAGATGAATCTGAGAAATACTGAATTTAGTCGACAAACAGAGCCTCACAGCATCAGCTTATCAGTGCCAAAACAAAGCATCAAAAGCATCAAAGCACAGTTTGATATACTGTACATGAAGATTTAATTTACACTAATTGAATTTGTTTAATTTGTAAAGACCAAGCATTAAATAATTTCTTCCAAGTGAATTTAGTTCAGTTTTATTTACTTGAATCTATTCTCGATGCAGTAATCAATTGATAACAGCGAGCCTTCACTGAAGACGGCAGGGTGAAGGATTAATCAGAACCAGCAGGGCCGTGCATCATTTCATCACGAGAGTCATCACTCAAGGTGTGGGTAATCGTGTGTATGTCAACCTGATGCTTTAGGATTATGGTTTATGTTTTCTCCAAATTTGTTCACAATATTAGTCTCATCTTGATGACGACAATAAGGCTAGGAAAGTTGGTCAGCATTTAAAATGTAATCACGATTTGAGTTAGAGCTGAAACAATAAGTAATTTAATTGATTAGACGATTGACAGAACCTCTTTTATCAGCAGTTTTATAACAAAAATGCCACAACCCTACGGTGAGGGAAACCTGGCGAGTGGGTTACTTTAATGGAACAGCTTGTTTAGTTGAATAATCAATAAGTTAATTAATAAAACTTGCTTAAATGATAGAATAAAACCAGAGAAATTATAAAAAAATTAAATGTTATGACTTTTCTCTTTTAGAGCAGATTAAAAACAGAATATCTTTTGGGTTTCAAACTGAAAAAACAAGTTAGACATTACCTTGGACTTAACCAACTTTCACATTTCTAATATTTATTGACCAAACGATTAATCGAGAAAATAATCAGCATATTTATAATTACAAAAACATATTTTTGTTGCAGCCCTAGTTGGAGAAGCTACTTTCTTAGAGAACATACTTGCAAGTATTCCAAGAAACATCTAGGTTTTCCAACTGATGAGGACCAAGTAACTAAAGAAAAACACACTTTCTCAGCATGTAAACTCAATCCCTCCATCTCACACTGCTTCATATCTACCTTGAACAACTCACCAACCTTGAACAAAGTACGAAGAGCATCATCAGAGCTGTGTCTGGACCGTAATACACCTCACCTGAACACGCTGACCCCGCTGCACTAATATGTTTTATTAGGATGTATAATAAGAGCTTAAGGAGCCCGGACAATACACAGACCCTGGAGGCCGAGCGCTCTGCACCTTATGGGGGTATCCCTTTAGCATTATGTAATGTTGTAATAGGCTTAGCTACATGCCTTTTCTGCAGGGGGGCAAAGGGGTGTTTGGGCTGACTCAGATGAATCACTTTATGTCTCCTTTCCTCTGAGCTTTCTACTTGCTGAGGAGTGAACTTTCCACACCCCCACATTAACTGACCTCAGATGGCATTAACAGGAGAGTAAAGGAGGTAAACATCCACTTGTCAACTCACTATTAAAAGAAGCTATATTATTCATGTAGGCAGTCCCTAAAAGAAGACACGATGTTATACAGATATGCCTGAGCTTATGATAAAAGTATTTCAATTAATACTATGTCTGCTGTGTTTTAATGTTGTTCAATCAATAATATCCTGTAAAAACTCACTTAATGCTGTCTTTATTCCGCTCTAGTAGTTCCTATATTATTCATGTAGGCATTCCCCTATCTACTTTTGCTCGGATATGTATCCATTAACCTTTACAATAAATTAGAGTACAAAGAAATGTTTGAAACACGTCAGTAATAATGCGAGACTTGGATAGAAGCTACTTCATGATAGTAGTAGAACAATTGAACGACTTACAATGGTGCGTTTAGGAACAATTTCCTCGACTAGTCAGCTGCATTTCACCTGAGTTAAAGCATCACAAGAACCAGCATCCCAAAATAACTATTTTTAAAACGTCCGGGCTCCTGCTGCACGGAAACACAACACTTTGCAAACATTAAAGCTTCATAAGGAAACGACTTATCCGCCCATATCAAAATATAAGCCGGGTGAATCGTTTGGTCACAAACACGTCACAGCACACCGGTACTTACTTTCAGACGGACATGGAGGAGCCTCTTCAGACGCTCGCGAACATTTTGGGACACGCGGTAGTTAGTGTTGGAGGTGTTTCTTCATCAGGCGTGCACCATCGCGGGAATGTACACACGGGTAGACATGCGGAGTCATTTGACCTTCTCCCAATAGAAAGTACCATCCGTGAGACGTAGAGAGGGGAGGAGTGGATCATACCAAGCAGGCGTCCCAGCAAAGGAGGAGGGGGGGGGTGGGGGTGGGAGAGCTGTCAGCCTGGGATGTAGTGCAGGGATGAGGATGGTAGTGTAGTTGCAGGGAAGGGTGGAAATAAACTTCGAACTAGTTGCTGGAAATTGTGAAATAGTAATTTAATTACGAATTTATCTATCTTTATCTTTATTTGTTTATTTGTTTATTTAAAGTATCCCCATCAGCCGATGCCCTACCAATCTTCCTTGGGTCTGTGCCTGACTTGTAGTAAATACAATATTAAACATTCATTGCAATAATATTCAAATAAAGTTCAGAGCCAGCTAACACTGTGTACACAATTCAAAATAATATGAATTAAAAATCAATATGTTTAAAGGAATAAGAATGTCATATACTGTACATGCATACATGCATTTCCAAACATTTGGTCTACCTATGCTGTAAAATGTATTATCTCTTCGATTTACACACGGCATCTATTGCACTTCTGTCCATCCTGGGAGAGGGATCTCTCCTCTGTTGCTCTCCCCGAGGTTTCTCCCATTTTTCCCTTTGAAATGTGGGTTTTTCTGTATGATGTGAGGGTCTAAGGACAGAGGGTGTCGTTTTTCTCATACTGATATTCTGAACAAACTGTGCTGTTGTATTTGCTGTAAAGTGTCTTTACTGTAGGGTATTTTTATTATATGTACAGCACTTTGGCTCGACCAAAAATCGTTTAAAAATGTGCTATATAAATAAAACTTGATTTGATTTGATTTGATTTGATATAGTTTTTACTCAGTTTGACATTAGCCAATAAATGCCTCTGTATGTTAATTACAATAATTATTGTTTTTTTGCGAGGACAACATTAAGGGGGAAATTATTCAAGTGTGTTTTGGCTCTGCAAATTGATTGTGCAGGGTACCACAGTATGACAAATGATGTTATGTATTGTACTTTTGTGTAGTAAACTATTTGGTTGAACAACAATGTGGCATCTTTGCTTCATCTTAACAATGCTTGAGATATATGTTTTGCTCAATGGTGAACCATGACTGGTACCTAACTTTTAGATGCTATAGTTGTAATAGAGCAGCTCAAGTCTAGCAGCCATGTTTTCTGCAACTTGCAATAATTCTGTTAAGCCATAGTCCTGGTGTCACATTCAGGCACCTGACCCAGCACGTGTGACATTACATAGGGAGAACACTTTCTGTGGAGTTTCTGAGGACCCCTCTGACCTTAAACTACCAAAGGGTACTCAATGAGTGACGTATCAAGAGACTCAAAATTACCAGAAAGAAACATAAGATGACTACAAAGAGTCCCAGAAACATTGCAGAGCACCTACAAAGAGACCACGGAGAGACTCACAACAACTATGAAATTAGGCAAAAATTACTTGAAGAGACACACAGCAACTACAATGACACTCAAAACTGCTACAAAGACACACAAAAGACTCACGGCAACTTGATGCAATCTAGGCTCCCAACACAAACTATTTTTATAATCCATTTACAGTTAAATATTGCCTAATTGTGAACATTTCCTGCATCATTCTTCAGTATATCAGAAAACAGCATATGTAAAACAGGATTTTTTTATTCAGCACTATTACAGAAATAAATGAAACCCTTTGTTGTAGTAAATAAAGGATTATGAACTTATACATAAGCCTATCAAGCCTGTAAGTGTAGATACAGTATACTAGTGGTTTCCAATCTTTTTTTAGATGTATATCATATTGTGCTTTCTACAATCGTAACCATTTTCTACACCCTTTTACTCAATTTCATCCGATTGTTGCCATTTTTGACTATATATTAAAAATCGAATTATTCAAGCTCCTCTGCATCACAACATCCCCATGTACCATCTGGTAACTGCAGAAGTCCCCTCGGGAACGAGTACCCCTGTTGTGAATTGCTGCAATATAATATATTGATAGTGAAGGTAAAAGTGCATTATTAACTTCACAACCAATTGAGACAGTGTAAGGCCGTATAGGAATTCAATAAGTGGATATAAATAGTCGCCATTGCAACTCACTTGGCCCATTGGAAGCCCATACATCCTGATAAAATACTATTAAATAGCATTATTACAGTCATATATTCAATAATATATGCATGAGTTACTAAGACATATGTGCGGTCGGAGTATGGACTATCACTATTCACTTGGTCAAATTGCACCCTATAAGCTCATAAAAAAAGACTTGATGAACCAATATATCTGGATTAAAAGCAACTGTAGAAGCCTATGCAAAACAAATGAAAGCAAAGTCCTTGCAGTGATGAATTGAAAACACCTTGGGCTGTTGCTTTACATGAAATGTGTGGCCTTGTGAGAACACAGCCTCATATAAAGCACTGCTTCCTTTCCAAGAGATTGCTCTCATGCACTATAAAGTTGTCATTGGCAGCGAGGAGGTAAAACACAATATAGATATCAAACTGGTTCAGTTCGTATCCTAGATTGCAAAAGAATAATAAACATTAACCCCTTAAAAACATGCATTTGAATTGTTGGTTTTTGTGCATGTAAATGGTCTGCAAAGCCTAAAATCCCAAAGACCAATCAGCGGACTTCCTCACACACACACACTCAATCTTTTCTCAGCTGCAGCTCCGCCGATTTCTCCTCCGAGACGGCGGGACGCGGCGAGGCTGTGAGTCGGTGTGTGAGCACACACACAAACTCCCAGCCAGGCTGCGGGTGTGTGTGTGTGTTCGGGCTGGGTTTCGATGTGTCTCGCTGTGTCTCGCTGTCTCGCAGACGGCCACTGGGCTCATAGGGAGGGGGGGGGCAGGAGCTCCAACAAGCCGTTTAGGACAGAGAGTGAATACACATACTATACAGAGATGCTATATGAGAAACCAATGTGAGTTTGGAAAATTGCACAATATACATTTATTTGAGTATACCTCAACAATGGAATTATGATCAGTAGAAATGGCCATGACATGGGACCTTTAACATAGTAACATCCCCATGTAACACTCACGCTTCTATTGGCTAGCGATCCAACGCAGACCGGGACAGCTTTAAGCAGTTGACCAATCACAACAGTCGTCCAGCATACTGCGCTCTGGTTTCCAGTGTTGGGCAAGTTACTTCCAAAATGTAATACAGTGTAGTGATCACTGATTCATACACTGGGGTTACATAATTCAATCCGGGAACTACAGGTTGGGGGTATTGTTTCCGCCCGGACATATATGTTGACGGTACCTCCGGGGTACCTACAGTGTGTGTGTCCCTTTCACTTTCTCTTCTCTCCTGTGCCTTCGACCCGACAGCATGTCGATTTCTGCTCCCCAATAAAGTGAGATTTGCACCTCCGATGCACCGCCTCCGTCTCCCTTCTCTCGGCACTACATTGGTGACCCTGACATAAGTCTCGCGAAGGATCCGAGGCTGAATCGAACACGGCAAAAAGCGCAGCTTTTCTCGGAATGCCGGAGATTCTTGGAGACGTCCGTAGCTGCCACGTGCACATGGACTGAGGCTCGGTGCGCCCCGCGGAATGGCTGAGGACGTCGCTCGCCATTCCCGCTTCGTCTCGGCACTGGAAGGCAGCAAGCCTTCCTGCTACGAGGAGACGATGCACGACCTGCTAGGTATGGAGGAACCCGTCTTCTGCCTCGTGGAGCTGGTTCTTCGGGACATGCTGCATGTCCGGGCTGCGCTAGCTGCCTCGGCTAGTGTTGAGCCCCGCGCTTTGGCCGAAGATGCTGGCCGGTTCCTCCTGGCCACCCGGCGATTTACCCCTGAGGTGCTTGCCACTGCACGCTGCAGCACCTTCCCTGGTAAGGGCACGCCACCTAGCAGAGGCTCCGGGGCCGACGACGACGTCAGCGACTACCGGCCGTCGAGACTGGAGCCACGACAGCTAACGGCTAGCTGCTACCAACGGCTAGCGACGACTGCTAGCAACGGCTAGCCACAGCAGCTAGCGGCTGACATCCGACTGTTTTTTTATTTTTATTTTTGTTTTTTGTGGTGCCGGAGAGGAGGTTCGATCATGTCTGGTCGGCCTCGTGTGGATCCTCTCACGATTTCGCCCACCTGTTTTTGATCGTGGACAGGACGACCTTTTGAGTTTTTTTCTGGTGCCTGAGAGGAGGTTCGACCATGTCTGGTCGGCCTCGTGTGGACCCTCTCGCTGTTTTCACCACCTCGACGGCGGCTTCGGACGTCACACAGTGGCGCGCTTCTGGACCCCGTCTCGCCTCGCCTCGGCGGTTCCGGACGTCGCCCATGCCTTCATCGGCCCGTGGGTGGCGCACTTCGGGACCCTGCCTGGCCTCACCTCTAACCGCGGCTCACGGTTCGCCTCGACGGCGCCCCGTCTGGCCTCTCCCCTGTCCACGGCTCCTTCCTCCCGGGGACACGGCTCCTTCCTCCCGAGGACTTCGTGCCCGCCGCCGCTGTGCCTTCGCCTGCGGCCGGGCAGCGCTCCTCCCTGCTGGGGACCACCAGGTTTTTTTCACGCCCGTCCCCTGGTCTCGACACAGCGACCCTGCTTTCTGCGGCCCCCTGACGACGGCCCGTTCCATGGCCCGCCCTCCTCGGCCCCTGTGGTGCTTCCTCCCGACGCGAGGATTGTGTCCATGGTTGAATTCTGGGGGGGCTTGTGTAGTGATCACTGATTCATACACTGGGGTTACATAATTAAATCCGGGAACTACAGGTTGGGGGTATTGTTTCCGCCCGGACATATATGTTGACGGTACCTCCGGGGTACCTACAGTGTGTGTGTCCCTTTCACTTTCTCTTCTCTCCTGTGCCTTCGACCCGACAGCATGTCGATTTCTGCTCCCCAATAAAGTGAGATTTGCACCTCCGATGCACCGCCTCCGTCTCCCTTGTCTCGGCACTACAACAGTATATATTACTTATTACTGTCTTTTTTAAGTAATAAGTTACATTACAATATTACTGTCTCTGAAATGTAATGAGTTACATTACTTTTATATT